TTTCACTATTATAGGCCTTACGCCCAGCGTAGCATAATATCTAAATACTTTTTGAATGAATTGCAAAGTATGTTGCTTTCTTCAGTGTTTTATCTGAGCACTCAAATCATAGAGATCGAAAATAATATTCAGGAAATTTTGGGTTTCTTTCAAAGATTTTAGCCTTTTCTTATATGGGTTGATTTTAAACGATTTATGACGCAAAGCCATCATGATAAGCGTGTTGCTTTCCTAATGTAAAGCCGAAAAGTAGAAACGTTCTCTGCGATTGCTTACGCAAAAAAAGGGATACTTGTCAATCTTTAGTACGAAAAAAGTTCTAATTGCCTATCTATCCTACGAGGAAACTTTTTCTTATCAACTATTAATGTTTTTTCTTCAATATATAGCTGTTTTGCTCTTTGGTAATTTAACGTGATGTAGTAATTCCTGACTATCGTGCGCAATGATTATGAGATCACGTACTGTTACCCTTCGTTGCCCGGTGACCAGAAAGTATGACTGGAATGAGTTTCGTATTAGCAAGGCTCAGTCAAGAAATGAAACTCAAAACGCTGTTCATGTACAAGGCTTTTTTTGCGCGGAAATAATTTTAACTCAGCTAATATGGCTAAGAAGCTAACTCAGAAGCCTGATGCCAACAAACACTTGTTTCTTTCTGAAAATACCTAGAAGTCATTCAGAAATGAATGGGCAAGCTTACTGAAGCAAAAATAATACAAAAAAGGACAACAACCTCCGGAGCTAACGAACTGTTACATATAAAAAAAATTCCTTTGTTGGTGTCTTAATGGAATACTAAATTATAACTTAGAGGCCCCATTTGGCATGATCAGCATAGCTTTAATATCGATTAACAACTGGCATCGGGAAATCTAACAGTTTTCAAAAGCAACATACCATCATTATTTTCAGACAATATACGACTTTGGTACAGAAAAATGATATTCGCTACATATACGTTTAAATGATTTTTCTGAAGAGCTTTTGTTCAGTGTTACAAGAAGAGAGTTTGCAAAGATTACAATAGCAGTTGACAATAACTGAGTTAAAAACAAAAAACAAAAAACAAAACAATTCTATGCGGGGGCTAACAACACACAGAGTACTTCGGGAAGTAATTGAATAAAACCGCACTACTTCAGACCAAATGTTTAAGTCGTTTTAAACCTCATTATTCAGCTGAAATAACGCAGTCTTATGCTTCTGATTTGCAGGATAAAAGTACCAAGATGACTCCAAAGTTACTATCTTTTGCCTAAGAATTTTATGTTTTCAACTTAATAGCATCCATAATCGACTATTATTGGCAATACGCCTAATATAGCTTGTAACACTTTTTTGCATGACGAGTTGTTAAGAGCATTGTTTTTTGTCAGTATATTATCCGAGTTGGCAAATCAGTAAGATTGCAAATTTTATTTCAGAAGTTGCGAGTTTCTTTCAAGATTTAATCATTTTTATTTGTGATAATTTTACACGATTTATGACACACAACAATGGACGTGTTGCTTCCTAGCGTCAAATCAATTGTTTACACGAAAAAAGTGTTGGTTGTCAATTGTTGATAGAAAGAAAGTTCTGCTCGTCAATCTTTTCTACGAAGACACTTCTGCGCACCGATTAGCAGTGTTTTTCTCTAAAAATAGAACTGTTTTACTCTGTGGCATTTTTACGCGATTTAGTGCTGAGTTCCTGAATATCGTGCGTAATGATCATGCCTGTCTCGATGCATGAGATCACGTAATGTTTACCCTCCATTGCTCAGTCACCAAAAAGCTTCATTTGGCGACAGAGTTCTACAAAAATGAAACTCAAAATGATGTCCCGCTGCAAGGGTTTCTTTTTTTCGGAAATATTTTAACTCAGGTAACATGGCTAAGGAGCTAACTTAGGAGCATGTCTTTCCAATGGACGATGCTGACAAGCAGTTCTTTCTTTCTGACATTACTTAGAGGTCATTCAGAAATGAATGGGCAAGTTTATTGAAGCAAAAATAGTCCAACAAAGGACTTCAACTTTCGGAACTAACAAATTGTCTCATAAAAAATGAATCCCTTTGGTGGTGTCGTGATGGAATACTTAATTATAACTCAGAGACACTTTTTGGCATGATCAGCATAGCTATTAACACCGATTAACAGTTGTCATCAGGAAATGTAACACTTTAAAAAGTAACATAGCATTATTATTTTCAGACACTGTACGACTTGGCGCAGAGAAATGATATTCATTTCAGATACGTTTAAGTGAGTTTTTTTAAAAGAGCCTTTGTTTAGTGTTGCAAGAAGAGAGTTTGTAAAGAATACAATAGCAGTAGACAATAACTGAGTCCTTAAAAAAAAACAATTATTTGCGAGGCTGTCAACAAACAGAATACTTCAGGAAGTCATTAATATATCACTCTACTTCAGACCAAATGCTTTCAGTCGTTTTAAAACCTTTTTTATGCAGTTGAAATAACGCAGTTTTACGTCTCTGATTTGCAGGATAAAACTTGCAAATCTTTTGCCAAAAATATATTAGGTCTGCAAATTAATGCCATCCATAATTGGCATTGGCATTACGCCTAGTGTAGCATAACTTGTAACACTTGTTGCATGACTTGTAAAGTTAGCTGTTTTTTTTTGTCAGTCTTTTATCTGAGTAGGCAAGTTAGTAAACTTGTAAATTTTTTGAGAAATTGTGAGTTTATTTTAAGATTTAGCTGTTTGAATAAAGTTATGACCAAAAACCACAAGTGTGTTGCTTTCTAACGCAAAAGCACAGTTATATTTCTAAACTTCATTAGTCAAAATAAAAACACTTTCAGTATTTCTTTAAGGAAAAAAAAATGATGCTTTCAAATTTTGAAGGCGAAGAAAGTTCTGTTTGATTGTCTTTCATGCTAAGATACTTCTGCCCACCAATATTTTAGCCTTGTGGCGAGAGAGACAAGCCAATATTGACTTAAGTATTATTTACTCACTCTGATGTTAATTTTTATAAGCTTAACCAGGTGCAACGTAAATTGATCAACTTCTTTTTACAACTTTTGTGTTTATTTCAATGAAATTTCAGTTTTTTTTTATTCCAAAGTTTACAGATTTACCAGTAGTATGCAAAAATCAAAGGTTGCATTTCAGTTTCTTTTCGCGGGCCTTAATTATAGCTTTGAATCCCTGTGTAAAATTCGCAACGTATAAACCGTTCTTTGTACGTCAGGAAGTTCTTTAAGGCTTAATGGACCTTGCAGACTGGCGTCGAGAAACCGACGCTGTTCCTTCAATTGCTGACACACATAATTAATCATTAAATCAGACCCCAACAATGAATTCATTTTTTTATCATTTGAGTGAACTATTGCACATTCGTGCAGAACCATTTCTTGTGACTGTCTAACCTGCTCTAGGGGGAGGTATCGATCTTGGTCGAGCGAACCCAACCCGACCCAAGTGTCCCTCACTTTTTCACTCCGCTGCGATTACCGCGCTTAGTTTTACTCTCTGTGACCGTCGAGCCCGGCCAGGGGCCTGAGAATGAATTATTCGTTTGTTTGACTCCGTCAGTAACCAGTCAGTATTTATCGCCTGGCGTCGAGGGGGGAGGGGGAGTAATTACACGGGTTTCAGTGGAAAAGGAGGGGGGATCAGTCGCCTCTGATAAAGTTTGAAGCGGGAATATTTTCGGCCAATGAAAGTGAAAGCCCTCCCGGCGAAAAATTATGACCAGTCCTTGGTTAATGATATCTGTTAAAGGAGAAGATGTTGAGAAAACTGTTGTGATTAATATTGCAATAAAAAGAAAAAAAAGGAGAAAACTTTAACATTATGTTTAACGGCACGTGGAGATTGATGTTCATATGCAATGCTCTTTCCTGGCGATAGTAGCAGAAACCACAGGCGCCTCTTATGCTGTTGTTGAAAATTTCCTCTCGGCCTTCTCAATCCTCGTTTCGTCCATAATGCAGATTTTCCCTTTAATAGCATGGATCAAATAAACTATGCTTGAAAATTTGAGGATTATGTTTTAGAGCGTGACCCATTGCTGTTCAATTCTATAACTCAAAATAATAGCTTTTAAAGAGTCTCTAAACCTCCCCCCCCCTTCTCCTACCAGCGGCAGGTTAAATTTTAAGTGTAACCAGGCAGCCTCACTGTTGACAGCACTCAGGCTCTTGTTGAACCGTAACATCTAGGGAATTTAATTTTAGAAGTTTAGTCATTTTGCCCGCATTATGCTCGATGTTCTGACTATAACATTATACCCAAAATAATGCCGGCATAATTAATCTGACCCTACCCACGACCTGCACTTTTCGCGTTGCCTCTCTTTCTTTTCCAAAGATAGGGTCTTCACCATTGCAGGGAGGATAATTTTTGGCCCGTGATAATCCCTCTTGTTGTAATGTGTTGTGATTTCTTTGCTCTACACCGCAGCATCACGGTGCATATTTTCCACACTGTCTTCTGAACTTCTCCTATGAACACATTTTGTGAAGAAGAAAAGACCAATTTAATTTGAACAAATAGGAGAAAATATTATTCCCCTTACATGGAAAACGCATGCAAAGGTATTTTTTTCAGATTTTTAATGAACAGTCTATTGCTCAAGGTTTCGTGATCGATGAGAACGATAAGCTTTACACTTGTTAGCTGTGCTTCGTGACCAGTGGTTCAAATCTTATGATTTTGCCGGTTGTGTTTGTTTTTGGAATCTCGTTTTTATTCTGCGTTCTCTTCATTCCCTGAGGTGACTTTATTGTCCTCTGAAACATTTGAAATTACTTCTTCATCATTATCATCTTTTTTATTGTCTTGAACAAGTTTTGTGCCAGTCTCTACTTCTTCATTAGTTGAAGTAGCTTCAGTGTTCGTCACTTCACGAGTGTTTAAAGAATTAATCTCCGCGTTTTCCATTTCTTAGCTCTTCAGATTATGTTCCCTTTTCTGCAAGTTTTGATTTATTTCGTCCATTTCTTCCAAAGATTGGCTGTCTAGGATCATTTCGCCATATATTTCCTGCTCTTCGTGGCGAGGTGAAGTTTCACTGTCCACCCCATCTCGACTGTCTGTATTATCCTTCACCAGGTTTAATAGGTTTTGATTGTCAGAGGCCTTGGACACTGTTTCATTATCAAGCAGTTGTTGACAAGCTTGAAAATCTTTAGCATTTTTCTTCTCTTCTTGATTGTTTGAAATATCTTCGCTCACACTCGTACCTTGACCACTTAATCCTTTAAATTCCACTTCCACGTCTTGGATAGATGAAATTCTTCCTTTGTTTTCCACATTTCCTACCTCTGATTGACTTTTTACTTCTGTTTCTGCCTCCTTTATGTCAGCTTTCTTTTTCCTTTCCCGCCTGTAATGAGTATGTATAAATATTCTCATCAAATAATTCTCTTACAGATCTTAAGTACAACATCCAACTTTTAAAATTTAAAATCAGTGGCACTTTCCCGCCACGATTTAAATGTAGAGTTGACGTATTTTCGAACGTCTCCAATCAAAAAGTGCTCAATTATTTAGAAACTTTTTTAACGATTTGAAAGCCGAAGAATCAAATGCACACTTTACTAATCTTTGAATACAGTTAGTTTATGGCAAGTGACAACAAGATACTAACCAGTATATATATATTCCTAGGCTATGGAACAGCAATATTACCGTGGCCAAACCTGCCCGTTCCATGGAACGAGCATCATGTGAGTGGATTGGTTTCCTGATCGCTTTTATGGGCCTGTTTTGAGGAATTGCAATTCTTTTATTGTTGTAGTCTCTAATAACTGGAGGTCTTCCTCTGGGGCTTTCCGCTGCTTCTTCTACAGGGGGAAGAAACATTTTGTTACCGTGAAAATGAGCAAAAGTTACTGTCATTATCTACTTGTCTTCTTAGTTTCTACAAAGAAAAGCTTCATTTCACGAAAGGAAACTTTGTGTATTACCAAATAAAGGGGTTTAGTAACTAGAATTTCCATAAATTATTTATTCAACTCTTTTAACTAGCTGCGAAATAACTTCTATTTAAAAGCTATTCACCGAAGTGGAGGTGGTTAGCGATAAATATTTACCGAGCCGTGGAGCGGCGAGATAGATAGCCGCTACTACCCACTGGCACTGGTAGTATATACTAGAACAGAGAGATAATATAGCACAATAAGGATGATTTTACTCATTTATTTTAATTTCTGTACTGATTACTATATTTATGGGCGCAAATCCCGCGCGAGTTGCTCTGAGGTGAATTGCAAAGGATATTGGCAGTTTGAGCAGCCAGTCAGAACGCGCGCGTTAACGCTATCCACTGTTTTTGTGTACACTAATGCGTTCCATTTGCGTTTTTGGGAGAAGCTGAGCAAGTATCACCTAGCTGCAGATACTTATTCTCTCATGAATATGCATTGTTTCATTTGCGAGCTGTTATCATTTATTTAATTTCAGCAGGGTAGTTTTTCGATATCTTCAACTACGTTTATTTCTGCCAGCTTTCGAGTTTCTTCTTCTCCAATTAAGAGTTCCATTGACATGGATACGCTACAGAAGTTGTTTTTTTTCTTTAATTTTTTTTGGTTATATTTTATATCAGCTGTAGGTTATTATTTTTTATTTCAGTAGAATCACACCTCCATACACATTTATTTGGTTAACAAATATATAAATTCGATATCATGGGGTAGAACCCGCAGCATCTACCAACAGGGGTTTCTATTTAGGTTCTCTGGTGAGGCTAACTATGAGAATAGAAAATCCCCTTTCGCGCCAACCTAGTAACCAGGGTCTTCTCTGTCACCCTGAGAACGAGGTAGTTTTTACACTTGAAATAATATGAATAACTTGGTACGACTCATTCACCTGAACAGTCCTCTCCTTCATAACCTTTCAAACAGATACACTGGAAACTGCCCGGTTCGTTTACACATGCTCTGTTCTTTGGGCAGGGATTTTCCTTACATTCATCCACATCTGTGAACAAAATGAGACAAGACCTACATACCTGTCTCCTATCATTTAGGCTATTAAATGACATTGTGTTTAAATGAAGTGAAGTTCCATCACTTCACGTGTTTATTACGAAACCAACATAAGAGCAAGCTCCCAGTTGGCTTGTTAGTTCAGTTGGTAGAGCACTGCACCGGTATCACAGAAAGGAGTTTTTTTTAATAAGCCTTATTTTCACTACTGCTTAAGTAGTGTCCACTACTGCCAAGATCACTTTTAAACTCATGAAATTGTGTTTATCACTTTGCCTGTGCGTTGTTCGTTTGTTTTGAGCTTGTTCAAGTTTATAAACTTGAATGTTCGTGAAATTCTGTCAAATGTGAAAAGGAATTTAGCACAGAGAACTCCAAATTAATAAGGCACATTGGCCTAAAACGAGTCACCCCAAAACAAAAGGCTGATTCCCATAACCTCACTCTCAATTCTCCCTTGTAGGGTCCATATATTTCCTTGTGAACAAGCTCAGAGAATTGTATGTAAAACAGACTAGCTAATGAGTATCTTTTACTTAGCCGTCATGTATATTTTTGTAATAGTATTGCAAAGAAAAGCAGTTGTTTATCAATTCTTACACCTTTACACCTTTACACATCAGTATTCATAATCTCCATACTGTTCTCCATGCATTTCTTAAAGTGCTAAAAAGGAGAATTTGTTTAATAATCAAGAGCTTCTCGAGTTTGTGATCATTTCCTTTATTCTTGTGACCTAAATGTGTGATTCAGGGGTGAAGTAGTCAGGAGAAATTTGATGTCTGTCACTCTTCGGGGTCAAAGGTTTAAAATGTATAATAAGAAATGTATGTTGTAGTACACTTCCTTAACTTTTTTCATCGATCCTGAAACTTGAAAAGGCGAAGAATTTTGGATGATCATCTCTAAATCAGAAGGTTTCATGGAACAATTTTTTTTCATGCTTTGCGTGTGTTATAGAGGTAATTGCCTGTTCTTCTCAAAGAGGCAACTTAGTTGTATGGCTTATTAATAGGATCAGTATGTTTGTCAAATAAAGCTTGCAGAATTAATAAGAAATTATGATTTGTACGTCGGCCTACCAGTTTTACAATCCTTCCCTTCAAAACCATTTTTGCAATTGCATTTGTAACTTCCAAAAGTATTGACACAAGCAGCCAACGCTCCACACGGAGAATTTTGACACTCGTCCACATCTGAAAGAGGAAATTTAAAAGCTGAAAAACTAATTATTTACAAGTACTCAGCACATTATAAGGCTCAAATATAAAAGGTTTTAGGTTTCATACAGTGCTTACTATTTTCTTTTCATCGGAACGTGCTTAAAATCGAAATTCTGTTCCGTTTTATTAAGAGACATCAATCTCGTTTTGTAGGCATTTTAGAAAATTTCGTCTAAGCCATTCAAGTTTTCTGTTAGAAATCCGTTTTCGTCTCATTCTTTGTCTCGTTGCTTCCTCATTGTTGTTACCTTCAAGGGTTTTTTCTAAGTCCCTTACATCGCTCTATCTGCTCTAGAGATTGCAATTGTATCGTAAAACCCAGTTTTTGCGGGGCATGATTTTATTTTTGGTTCCCTCGAAGGAATGTCCGGCGAAATAAGACAAATACATCTTACCAAAACATCCTTGACCACGAATCTCTTTAAAACCTTTTGATTTGCAAACACATTTGTACTGTCCAGGCGATACATGACCAGAGACCCATCTTGGTACACATCTTTCTGATGCTTGACAGTCCGTTTTTAAATATCTGCAAGCATTGTGGGCCCCTAAAGTGTCAATAAAACCCTTCAATAAAACCGATGGATATAAATATGGAGTTTTCATAATCTTGAAGACATAACTTTCTAGCCATAGAAGGCTGGCCACGGAGTCCATATGAATTGATTAAATTGTTGCAAACGTTTCCCCAACTTTTTTTAACCAATCAGATGTAAAACTAACACCGATCACAACTTGGTTGCCCGCGTTTTCCTGCGCTTTAGGCAGTTGGTTGTTTTTCCTTTGAGTCTTTGAATGGTTTTGATTTTACGTCACTTAAGCGAAAACCGCTCTAAGGACAAAGTGATGCGAAAAGATGTATTTGACACTTTTCAGTTTTATGAAATGTAAAAAACGATCTCTGGCTAAAACTTTAAAGAATACGAGCTTTCGGCTGTTTGCGCTACAGCCTTCAACGGGTAAAATGATAAAAAGGTAAAAAATACTAGGTGTGAAATACAAAGTAAAAATTAAAAATGCTAATAACTAAGAATGTTTGTTAAAAAGAATGTTGTATTGTCCGGGCAAAGGACAGGAATTGTTGTCCGCATTGGGAGTTAACTTGGAATGCCACGCTTCTAGTATTTTTCTTGTTCTGAAACCGCCTTTGTCAATAATAGATGCATTATCAAAGTCTATTGCGTGACTATTGGCCCAGACGTGATTGGCAATTCTTGAGCCTTTTGCCGCGGTTTTCACATTTCTGAGGTGTTCTTTCTTTCTTGTGTTGAAAATAGTCACTGTTTTCTTGCAATAACTTGCAAGACCTGTTTGTTCTGATAGGAGTGATGTCAAGATGGGAGAGAGGTCCCCGAAAGCGCTATTAAGATGTTCGATGAGACTACCGGCATAATAGGCAGCTAGCAGTTGAAAAGGTAAAAGATTTCTGACAAAAATTTTCTTCTTCTATTTTATACTCAGTGAGAAATATAACCAGGTGATAGTCTAACCTTTTTTTTCAATTACTTTGCATATTACCTTTCAGCCTCACTTGACTGGGACTAAACCATTCCGTTATTTGCTTTTTCAGGTCATGATAAAATGTTCTAACTTGGATTCTGGTAGGCAGCGTAGTCTGTCTTTTACTGTTCCATGCATTCGAGTAAGATCTCACACGACCCTCCCACAAATAACCTTTTTTCTGCTTAAACTCCGTCAATACCAAGGAATTGATACCAAACATGGCTGGGTCAGCAGGTTGATCACAGTATACGTCCAGAGTGAGGGATTTAAATGGAATTATGAAATTATAGTGGATGTCACCTCTCGCTTCCGGAGAGAAACACAGACCGTATGGGGTCCATCCACACATCAACCCAGGCACCCATCTGAGTTCTTGCTTTTTTGCAAAAGGGTTCACATCCTCCGTAACAACAAGTCTATTGCTTCCTCTCCCTATTCAGAGACAGATCGACTAAGTTAATTACCAAATTTAAGTCCATACAGCAACAAACTTCCGCGCGTGGGGAACGTTGTAATGGGAACCTTTTGGCGACGGCAACGAGGACGAGGCAAAACAAAAGATGTACTGAGCAGAACAATAGCTTAGCAAGTGCGTTTTAAAACTGTATACATTTCCTAGCCGTCCTCTGCAAAATAGCAACATGAAATCATCAAAATTTGCGTGGTCCAAGAAAGGAAACCCCAACGGCAAATTAATTAAGTTTCCGATTGGAACTCAACGCCATTCTCATACGTTATGCTGAGTTTAACTTGCGGCGCCGTAAGAGATGGTGAACACATCCAGTCAGCCGCTAAATTCCAACTTATAGTATATATTCATTTTCAAATCGACGTCTTCCTTGGCGTTGCCGTCCTAACAACTAAAAGTCCCTAATGAGTCAGAGGCGTGCTTTTATGCTGTCAGTTAGGAATAGATTTTTCCTGGCAGATGAGATTTCCTTTGTTGTTCTATGCTCGGGACAGGACAAGAAAAACTCCTTACCTCTCTTCCTTTCAGAACCAAGCTAAAAAATATCGCTTTTACCACCATAATGTAAATTGGCCACTGTAAAAGGTTTGTAAAGCTGGCTTTTCGAGCGTTAGCCCCTCGTCAGAGCTCAAAACTTCAGCTTTGGAAACTCTTTAAGGTGGCAATTCCATCGTCATTAACTCAGTTGATTAAACCAAATTATCACGTATTACCCCTCACCGACGCAGCAATACAGTTTATTCAAAACTTACCCTGCTAAAAATAAATTAACCATCTTTCCTATTCTGCCTGCTCAAAAGAAATATTTTTTTAAACTCAATTTGACCCATAACTGCTGGACTTTGCTGTCGTTGTAAGTTGCAGAAATTTCGCCCTTCATGTCGCGTACTTTTATGTGGAATTATTAAAACTGGATGAATTATATTCCTGAGGAATCACTTTCAACTTACAGGTCTCTGTGTCGTCCGGTTCCTGGGCTACAGCGGAATATCTAACACCATTTAACAGTAAAAACTTAAGTAATATTATCCATCTTAGGTAAGACGCCATTTGCAGAAGCCATCAAATACGGAAAAACCATTATTTACGTTTTCAGTGACGTCACGCGCGCAACACGTCAAATAACAACCTCGTTCTCAGGATTCTTCCCCAATCTCCCTCAAGAAAGTACTCTTTAGAGGGAGGAGAAAAAAGAACCCTGGGAACGAGGTTGATCAAATAATATCATCGAGATTTTTTATTTATGAAAAAGATAGGGGGCGTCAAAATAAATGCTCAAATTTCACAACTTGCATCAATTAAAACGTGGTCACGCCCGTAAATATTTGGAAATTTGTTATCTAAAGTGCAACGACACAAATGATAGTAAAGGAAATTTAAAAAGTTTCTATCGCGGCAGCTTCAAGGCAAAAATAGCTACGGAGAGGCTTCAAGTCGAGGGAGCTTGGTTACCACTGTTTGTACTTTAAGAGTTTTCAGGTTCCGTCGGCTGAGAGAAACAGTGAGCTCTGGGAACGAATTGCACACACGGAGTAATCTTACATAGTCTTCATTAACTGCTTTGGCTGAATTGTTTTCCTTTACATAAAATTTGAAAGTTTTTTCTGTAGCACACAAGCATTGCAAATCAAACCTAGAATTTTCACGTCGCTCCACAGGGGAAACGTTAAGTAATTTAAAATTTTTAAGAATGATACATTTAACTGCGTGTCTTAAAAATTTTAAATTACTCCAAAACGATTCAGGGACTGGCACTATCTTTTCGCAGCCCCCACTTATTTCATTCAAACGTGACAAAAACATAGGCAACTTTTTAGTCAGGAGTTCATTTCAAACCAATGACCAATCTGGAACTTTTAAATGCGCTCGCTCACGATGCAAAACTTGTCCTTTCATTCATAACGTAGAGAAAATATCGGGACCCAAAAGATCCATTAAGATCATTGATCACTTTACGTGTACCTCCGCCAATGTTATTTACTGCATAACTTGCACTTATTGCAATAAGTTATACATCGGAGAAACAGGAAGACGACTGGGTGACCGATTCCGAGAACACCTTCGCGATTTGGAAAGAAATGACAAGGACGCATCCAAACCAGTCGCTAGACACTTTAATCTTCTTTATCATTCTAAACATCATATGGCAGTTTGCGGCCTTTCCTTACATCTAGGCAGTTCGGAAAGCCGTAAAACACTGGAACAAAAATTTATATTCCAAATCGGCACCCTTAATCCCCACGGAATCAACGAGCGCTTTTCATTCAACTAATTTATTCCTGTTTTCTCGTCACCATATTCCCACCAATGGCGTAGCTCCACTTTCTACATATAAATCCACACACAACCCACAATTCCTCTAATCGCTCTGACGAAGGGCTAACGCTCGAAACGTCAGCTTTTTTACCTTTTACGGTGGCTAATTTACGTTTTCAACCCAGTTGTTAACACTAAATTACCTGCTATACTCTCCCACCGACGCAGCACCACAGTTTCTTTAGAAACTTACCCCTAAACTCACAGATAGCCAATCAAATGCGAGCCTTGGATGTCGCAACAAAATTTGAAATTTTGAAAATTTGCGAGCGAAACAATGGCCGGCGTTTTAAGTAGGCTTCCTTTTGCCACAGCAGCTGAAAAACAGCTTAAACAACGAAAACACCGTAAAAAGCACTGCTTTTTGGTTGTCAGTTTGGAAAAAGTGGTGTTTAGAGAAGGGAATTGCCGAGGAAATCGAAAATGACGAGCCGACCCAGATAAACACTTTGCTCTAGCGATCCAACGCCGAAATTGAAAACAAACATGTTTAAACTTCGGAAACGACGATTCCATTTCATCGAAAGTGATTCGGACACAGACTGAACAATTCCTTGAACTTTTTTGCACCTTAAAGATGTGAAAATATCATTGCATAATTTATTATTGTTTTGATTGTACGCGCTTGTTTTGACCGAACGCGCGGTTTGAATAAATCATTTTTGCACTTGATGCGCGCTTTGCTTATGTTTAATTATGATAAGCCATCTCGTATTTTCCATGTATATTATTAACACGTAATCACATGATTTTTCTCGTGCAATTTGGAATAAACAAGCACTTGTTAATTTTTTCAAAGACCACAAATTGCACGAGCCCGTAGGGCGAGTGCAATTTTGTTAGTCTTTAAAAAATTTCACTCGTGCTTAATTATTCCAAATTGCACTCGAAATCATGTGATTACCTATACAAATATGGAAACTTCAGCTGAACTTTTTTTATACCAGCGTGATCAGAGGAGAGCCTTCTCTTCGACCATAATTTGCATATCAAATAATTTGCACATGATTTTTCTCGTGCAATTTGGAATAAACAAGCACTTGTTAATTTTTTCAAAGACCACAAATTGTACTCGCCCTACGGGCTCGTGCAATTTTGTTAGTCTTTAAAAAAAATTTACTCGTGCTTATTTATTCCAAATTGCACTCGAAATCATGTGATTACCTATACAAAGCAAAAAAAAAAAAAAAAAAAAAAAAAAAAAGAGGGTGGTGTCAAGTGAATGTGAAGAGGGAAAAAATGAAACGAAACGACGAAAGTGCATATGGGAAAGTAA